AAAAGAGAAAATATCAAATGAGCAGCAGGTTTCTGGGTGAAAACGCTTTGTTGATGCCAGAGGTCAGAGGAGAATGGTCAGACTGCATTGTGCTGGTAGGAAGGTGGTAGTAACTCAAATAATGACAACCAAGGTATGCACAAGAGCATCTCTGAACACACTGCTTATAAAAACTTGAAGCAGATGGGTCACAGCAGCAGAAGACCACACTGGCCACCACTCATATCAGCTAAGGCTGCAATCCACACTGGCAGACCAAATTTGGTCAACAGGAGGTTGGTATGGTAGTGTCAAATTTTGGCATGAACAATCCATCCACCAGTATCAGGCTACTGATGGGTACTTCTAGCAGAATGTCTAGTGTCATAAAACTCAAATCATCTCAAACTGGTTGTTGTACATGACGATGAGTTCACAGTCACCATATTGTAGCAACTTTGTGATGTTATTATGTAAACATGGAGCAAATTCTAAATTAAATAAAGTGACCAGTAAGAGTATTCATTGTCGTCCTATGGTTGGCACAACAATTTTTTTTTTAAATAAAAGAACAAAAGGTGTGAATGCAGTGTTGCTCAGTTCCATTTGAATGCATGTGTACATGTGAACATGTGTGGAGCCATAGTGTAAATTGCTGATGGGTGTGTTCCTGGCTCCAGCTAAGAGGAATGTGAGGTGTGGTTGCCAGCGTTGCCCAACACAAAGTAGCTCGGCGTTCAGTGGGACATCTATGGCAACCGCAGGCTGTTTAACCAATACTCAGTCGTCTCTTCTTTACAGGAGACTCTAGGTTTATGTGCAGGTGTGCCACAGTGTTTTCACACTGCAGGAAAATAATGTGATCTCTTGGAAAGACTTTACTCACTGTTCCTCACAGGCTGAGATCAAAGCTTAGATTTATGTGTTCAGATTTTATAGTGACTATGCAACCATTTCTTGCCAACAGGACCTCCCCATTCAAAAAATATGCTGTGCTTATTCTTCCTCTTCTTTGATGTTTCAGCTTTGCTGTGTAGCATGGTGTGTAGGGTTTTTCAAATTCAGCTGTGGAAAGAGAAACTTCCAGTATATTTAAACAAAGACTGTATATAAAAGATGGGTGTAGCCACTATGATGTCACCTGTTGGTTTCTGGAATCTGTGTTTTGAATGCTTTGTTTGAGTGTTTTGGCCACTGCCATCTGTTGTGTGTTTGTGTGTGTGTGTGTGTGTGTGGCTGTAGTTCAAGAGGCAGATAAAATCCTCTGCTAATTGGAAGGTTAGTGGTTCCTTGGCTGCTCCATTCTGCATAACCTTGGGCAAGATACTAACCCCAAGTTGTTCTCTGATGTGTCAATTGGAGTATGAATGTGTGTGAAAGTTAGATAGAAAGCACTCAAGCATAGAAACAAGTGTTTGTGTGAAGGGGGGAATGAGGCATGTTGTATAAAGTGCCTTGAGTGCTCATGCAGAGTAGAAAACCACTATATAGAAGCCAGTCCGTTTACTAATAGCATTTTTTGTCCAATATTTGAACAAAACTGTAACTGTACCAGCACCAACTTTTAACAACAAGGACATGTATACAGTGGTGAGGTGTGTGGTGGGATTACATCAGCTCTTCTTGTTTGCAGTGGTGATGCACAGATTGACAGATGAGGTCAGGCAGAAGTCGCTGTGGATTATGCTGTTTGCAGACGACATTGTGATGTGTAGTGAGAGTAGAAAGCAGGTGGAAGAGAGCCTGGAGAGGTGGAGGTATGCAATTGAGAGAAGAGGAATGAATGTCTGTGAATGAGAGGGAGACAGGTCGAAAGGTGAACACACAAGGGGTAAAGATAGTGGAGATAGATACCATCCAAAGCAACAGAGGTGAAGAAGAAGTGAAGGGGGACATGCAGAGTCTTGGTGTGACAGAAGAGTATGGTAGATGGAGGTGGGATAGGGTGAGATGGAGCAGATGATCTGCTGTGGTGATTCTTAAAGGAAGCATCCAAAAGAAGCTGATGATTTGGACAAAACACTGGAGCGATAACTAATCAGTGCTAGCAACACTGTGTAGCTAGCTGTATCTATAAATGGTACAGATGCAATCCACAGGCATACATGTCAGCTAATAAATACCAAAATTTTACTCATCAAACTAAAGACTTTTTGGGTGATCTGTGCCTCATAACAGCCTGTGTTGGTAGTGTAAATGGTAAATGGACTGATTCTTACATGGTTCTTTTCTTCTCTACTGGAGCACTCAAAGCGCTTTAAAAATATGTATTTGTAAATATGTATTTGGATATAACAGAAAATACACCAAGTATAGTACAGTTGTTATGAAGGGAATATTTTCTTTTTTTTTTGAAACATTGTTTAACTTGCCTTTTGCCTATTA